TACAGTAAACATATTTAAAGGAACAAAACATGTTTTACATGGTGGTCACCTTGGAATTTAATATGGCTGCTAAATGACCTTGACCTAAAATGGCTGTCATAATGACCTCTGATGAAATAGTTCCTATCAAAAATTGAATTTTGTGAGCTTATGTATGATTTTGCTCTAAAACACGACCACTTACAAACTATTAAGATTTTCTACGTATTTAACAGAGGAATGAAATTGAATGACTTTAAATGACCATCTGACCATGTCACAAGTGCTATAAATCCTTGACCATGAAAATATATTTTTAGACATCATAATTCTTATTGTAAGTTGTTTAAAAGCCGATATATTGATAAATATAGGTTTTGCGTGGCAGCCATTTTGAAATTTAAGATGGCTGCCAGAATGAATTAGAATTGATTGGTCAAATATCATAATGCAGACCCCTGTAAACATTTAAATATTCTAGTTTTAATATCATTTTCCCATCTGTCATGGACACACTTCCAATTTAACATAAAGAAGAATTCTAGATAGTCTATTTTGGAGTATTTGAAGATGAATAATATTTTCAGAACTACAGTTGGACCAAACATTACAACAATAATCAAAACAAGGAAGTACAATTCCACTGTTTACAGTGCCATTAATAAAAAATTCAAAGTAATTATGTCAGATTGCAGTCACCCTCTTTATCATTACCTTTTAATTAGCAAAACTAGTCGTGGATAGTATACATGTAACTTATTCTACATGATTTTTCCATGACATAAGTGAATCAAGATATTTGAAACTTTGAACTCTTTCCACATGATATTATTAGTTATTTATGTAGAAGCAGTTTGGCGCAGTGGGAACGGTTTAATTTCCCAACCTCGAGGTTGTGGTTGCAATCCCTCACTGTACATATAGCTTGTGTCCTTAAGCAAGGCACTGTATCTGCATTGCTTCTCTCCACCCAGGAGTATACTGTAAATGGGTTTAATTTGGGTGGAAAATTTACTCATGATAATGATATTAGAACTCTCTAGCTCTTTTATTAACTTTAAGTGAAGTTTATAAAATTAAGGTGCAAAATTATCCCTAAAAATGGAAAACATGATGTATCTGGCACACATAATTTGATCAGAGGGAGCCAGGACCCCCCCCCCCAATCCCTTAAGTTCATCAAATGTTATAGTAGTAAATTATCGGTTTTATGAGAAAAAAAATGTAATGTAGGCCTATGTAATGTTAGCCTCCTTTTATTATGATTTACAGTGTAACTGAGTGACCTTGCCTCAGACCCAGTGCACATGAGAATGTTGTGCATACAGTAAGCCTACAGTAATAATTAATGTTAAAATAAAAAACATTTTGTTACTATCATGGTAACTCTCTGGTTACTAGTATCGAGGTAGCAAATGAAAACACTGTAATTTATTACAGTATTATTTAGTATAATCAGAGTGTAAATTACTCTTCCCTAATATAATACAGTTTAACCTTCCTGTGTGACCACCTCCCCTAAGCGATCCCCTCCCTTAACGTCCACTCTCATATACACTAGTCCTGTTATCCCTATCTAATCAGTGCATTTGATACCTCTCATAAGCCACCATCTCTCATAAGTCACCGCCACCATCTCTAGTAAGTGACTGCCACACCTTTTTGACTTTTGGATTTTTCTTATGATTTACTCCTTTAAGCGACCACCTCAAAAGTTTGCAATGTCGTTTGACGACAAATCAGTCAAATTAATACCTAACAATTCAGTTAATCTTACTCACATCATAAATATGTTTAAAATTAAGAAATTTATCTGTTGGCAGGATATTGTGGACCAGCAGATGGTATTGGGAAAAGTGCAATGTCTAGTCATCAACAGCAAACCCCACCAGCAAGACAATTGCTCTTGCCTCAACAGCTGCAGCAACTCCAAGCACAGATACTGGTTTACAACTATTTAGCCTGGAATCAGCCGATTCCTGATTGGTTGAGATCAGCTGTGCAGGATAACCGCCTGGTGCAAAGCCTTCAAAGACCATCCCCAGGTAGGCATATTATTTTTATGTCTTAAACTAATTCTTAATTCTGATTTGATGTTATTGTATGTATTTTTGTATTGGATTTAGTGCACTTGCATCCAATCAGAATTAAGAATTGGCTTAAGCCTATTTGATTTGACTTCCTTTTTATGTTTCCATGTTTCTTCTCATGTGTTCGTTGGTCTGCAGTAGCTATACAGTAGTAGTAACTGGAGTGACCCACTGGATAGGGTTTATTCGGTGAAATTAAATTCCAGTATCTTAGAAAGTTACATCTCAAATGCAGTGTCAGAATGTTTCATCTCAAATGCAGTGTACATGATATACTGTGACAAATGTAGTATGGGCAGTTATACTAGTGAAACCAGTACAAAATTTAGATTTAGAAGACTAAAGTAAAGGGTTTTTTGTTTATTGAATATTTAATAACACAGGGGAAGATATATAAATCAGAAAATGTAATTAAATAATGAACCTTATGAAAGATAATAAAAAAAATACTACTACTTCTAATACTCTCTTTTTATAAAATACATGTAAATATTTAATTCTATTACTGTATAAGATAGGAATATGATAATAATAATGTAGTGTGATAGCTAAATAATTATGTTTATTTAGCTATATAATTCATCTGGTACTAAGATTCAAAGAAATTTTAAACCTAATTTTGTGTTTATATTTTTAATGATAAAATAATATATTAATAATATAATAAAATTTAAATAATAAAATACAGGAAGATTAATACCTCTCAACTGTTTGATTTATACTATTTCAGATAAAATTATCAAAGATTATTTGACAAGACAACAGAAAAAATGGTATCAGGATGTGAATCGAATGACACCAGCAATCTGGCATAAACATTATAAAGTAGATATTGCAGAAATATTCACTGAACTCAGCTTACGGAAATCTAAAAACAATTCATCATGTACAAGAGAGAAAGGTGAACCCACATCATTAACGGAGGTATTAAACATTATTGAATCAGAAGGTTCATGTAAGGTATTAATAACAGGAAAAGCAGGAATGGGCAAGACAACACTCCTCAAATATATTACTTATAAATGGGCTACTGGTGATGTCCATAATGCTTTTGCTGGTAAATTGCTATTTCTGATCAAAATTGGGGATATTAAAGCAGGTGCAGATATCGTGGAAATAATTATGAAAAACGTAAATACGAACGAATTATTAATCAAGAATAATTTGCCAATTAAAGCTGTTGAAAGATTCCTGTACAACCATGGTGATGATATAGTGATTTTGTTAGATGGATATGATGAGTTACAAAGCGATGCAAAGGACCTTATAAATCTGTTCAAAGGAGTTGAATTAGAAAAAAGCACTGTTGTGATAACATCCCGACCTGACAACACAGAGAATTTGGTTGAATGTTGTACTTTACATATTCAAGTGAATGGATTCAGTTCAAGAAACATAAAGGAGTATATTAATAAATATTTTTGTTCAACCAAGAAATATGAATTGGGGAAATCACTATTGAAGGAGTTTAGCTTTCATTTAGAGGATGAATGGGAGTGGGATGGTAATCATAATGTGGCATTTGGATTGTGCTCTTCCCCATTGTTACTGCTTATGATCTGTACCATATGGGAACAAAAACAACATTTTCCAAAAGACTTGTCAGATCTTTTCACTAAACTGATTTGTTGCATTTTAAGTCAGTATGAAAGCAAGTGTAATAAACCTGATATTTTCCCAATTGAGAGAATTCCAGAGCAGTATAAACTTGCCATTCTACTATTAGGAGAATGTATGTATGAAGGCCTAAAGGAAAATAAATTGTCTATTGACAAATATGTTTTGTCAAAGATGTCAAAGAATCTACATTCTGTAGAGTTAGCATTGAAACTTGGATTTGTTTATGAAGATACCCCTTTTAACCCTGGTGATGTAAGGGAGATTTACACACCTCCACACAAACTAATCTCAGAAGCACTAGCAGGGTTTTATTTGGCTAATCAAATTGAGAAAGAGCATTTGAAAGGTGATGAATATGAGGTAATAAGATGTAATAAATATTTAAATATGACAAGAAAGTTTACAATAGGATTTCTAGATGATAAAGCTGGTGAAATGCTGAAACATTGGTTAGTAATGCCTTCACAATTGTACTCAGTAGCACAGTGTTTTAACTATGTAAAGGAGGAAAATGAAAAATCTGTACTAAGGAAATTAGATGAAAACATGTCCACTAAAATGAAATCATACTGTGAGCAAATGTGTGAGACATTCAGAAGTGTTCTTGATGATGATAGAAGTGAGCATTTATTAAAACTTATTAAAAAATGTTGTGTTAAATATAAAAATTCTCTTTATAAACTTGAACAGAAAGTGGTATCATTGGTAGATACATCCAGTAAAGAGTCTCTCAGAAAGTCATGCAGAAGAATTGTACTTACGTCAGTTATAGAACAAATAACTAATGACAGCGAAGCAGGGACTCAATTTGCTGTATTTGTACTTAGATGTATTTCAAATTGGAAAGATGAAAGCCTTAATGTCCTTTCAGCTGAGATAAAATACCTCCAAATTAATTATGATTGCCCTTCATTGACGTTACACTGGGGATTTAATTCATCATTCTTGATTCATTTCCTGACACATTCAAACCTATCTGACTTATTTGTACATGATGGTCTGCTTACTGAGGATACACTCAGTGTAGTTATCAAAGAGTTACATAAAACTAATGTAAAGTTGACATTAAAATTACTTTCCATAAGTTGTACTGATCTACGTAATATCGATGGAGCATTACTAGGAAAACTATTTGAAATAGGTCCTGCACTGAATAGACTAAATGCAAGCAACTGTAGGCTATCAAGTGATATTGTGAGGGCGATGATTACTGAATGTTCAAACAATGGATGTAAACAGCTATGCCACCTTGACATAAGCAATAATGACCTTGATGATGCATTATTGTGTGATATACTTAAAATGTATCCAGCTTTATCTATTCTTAAGGTAGCTTCATGTGGCCTCTCAAAGGAAAGTTTAAATAACATGGTAAATGAGTTTCCTGAAATTAAACTTCTTGAACTTGATTTTAGCCGAAATTGTCTAGGGAATTTAGATGGGGAAACTTTTGGAACGTTAATGAAAAAATTGCCCAAACTTCGTTTTTTTGGTATGGCTCATTGCAGTATATCAGGCTCTATTGTTAATGAAATGATGAAGGAATGTAGTACGATGAATGTAGTATTAAAAGACAACATGCTTGAACTGGATGGCAATGACCTTTCAGATATTAATGGTAAATCAATTGCAGAGTTAGTCAGGGTAGTGCATAGATATTTTAGCTTACATGATTATTTTCTTACAGCTGATAATCTTCAACAACTGTTTGAATCAGTAGATATAAATATTAAACTGAATTGGAAATATTTATATATGAGTAAAATTAACCTATCTTGTATTAGTGGAAAAACACTATCATGCCTTTTTAATGTCTCCCCAGACCTGATCTATATTGACTTGAGTAACTGCAGTTTATCAGGCAGTATTGTTAATGAAATGATGGAGGAATGTGGTAGGATGAATGTAGTATTGAAAGGCAAAATACTTAGACTGGAGGGCAATTACCTTTCAGATATTAATGGTGAATCACTTGCAGAGGTAATGGTAAATTACTTAGACAGGGTAATAACAATGCATCAAAAATGTTTGTTTTACCGTCCAGGTGTAGGTTCCTTCATATGGAGGGATTATCGTCTTACAGCCGATAACCTACATAAGCTTGTTGAATCAGTAGGTGAAAATAAGACACTCAGTTCGAATATTGTTGACGTCAATCTGAATAGGATTAACCTATCTTCAATCAGTGGTAAAACATTAGCTTGCTTTTTAAAAATCTTTCCAGACATATCACATATTGACATGAGCCATTGTAGTTTATCAGGCAGTATTGTTAATGAAATGAAGGAGGAATGTGTTAGGTTGAATGTAGTATTGAAAGAAAACGTGCTTAAATTGAAGGGCAATGACCTTTCAGATGTTGATGCCATTAGTTACTGAGTTATAACATAGAGAAAATAGTGTTCTATTTTCTCTATGGTTATAACAGGGAGATGTAAATAATGTGTGGTGGAAAATAAGAGTTAAACACGTTCAACTTTTTTTTATACAATTTGATATGACGTCATCGTACCCATACATGGGTACATCACATTTTTTTGTCACATAAAATTTGATAGTGTAGACAAAGCTTTAAAGGGGTCACTACTCTCTTATCCACAACAAGTGCAACAAACTCAAATATTTAATTTACATTTTTATTTTGAATATTTTTGAGCCCTAAAAATTAACCAAATTTTGTTCTTAGTTCTTGGATAACGGTACAGGACTATCGGTATCAAGTTTTCTTCCAGTTGGGCTTTATATGTCCAGTGTGGGTTGGTTGGAATTATTCATTGCCCATATTGTTACTGTTACTTCTCTTCATGTGATATTAACCAATCTTGTCAATTTTATCCTTTAGCTATTTGAATGATGTTTCTTTGATTTTTTTTAAATAAAAAAGTACATTCATAGAGGATTTGATTGATAACCTGAACCCTGATTTCTGTGTCATACTCCATTCATCTTCGACATCAAGTAGAATCCCAGCCCATCCTCCACCTCCCTGCTGGCACCACCACTGGTTGTTATAATAACATTTCTATTAATTTTGTATCATAATAATGTATTATTTTCACAGTGAAGATTATTGTCCAAACTGTAAGTGACAAATACTGTAACTGTGATATTCCCTTATTTGGGTGTATATATGACATCATCATGCCCATATATGGCACATCTCAGAGTTTCACATAAAAATTTATTAGTGAAAGGAACACTGTAATTTCCAAATTTTTGGATGAATAAAGTGATGTCTATGTCTATGTCTAGAGCTTAACAAATTAGTTGTGATTATTGTAAATCTCATCTTAAGGTGAATTTAACTAAAATTATACTGTATCTAATGTAGTGGTAATTGTTATTGTATTGTAGGTGGTGTTTTTGGAATTTGTTAAGAGTATGTTACTTGAATATTCAAATAAACAGTTAATTGTAAGAAGTCCATGGCACGTGTTATTTATTTGCATTTACCGTGTTTGCCATATTGTAATATTGTATGTCATCTACCTTAGTAAGTGGACGGGTACCACAATCAATAGTTTGCCTCGTCCAGAAAGAGTTGCAACAGCATTTCAGGAATTTACTGGTTCTGGGTATTTATATGGCGCCTTTCTCTTGCGGTTATAAAGAGCAAGCCAAGGAATACAGTAGCAGGCATAAAATTGGTCACCATTCAGGGACCCCATGCATTACAACAGTACAGTCTCGCAAACAAACTTGCCTTATTTTTTTAACTTGGTGCTTTTAATTTTGAATTGGCGCATTATATATCTCAGTTGTTAATAATTATGAAGATTCTTCAGGAATTCCAAAATGTGAACATTGTAGGACCTAGGAGTAGTGGTCGATCACTTAAAGCATAGAAATTTAAAAGGAAGATGCTGTTAAATGAAATGATGAAGATAATGATGATGATAATTATATTTTTGTTACTTGTGTTATGGACAGTCCCTAATGTTCAGCTTCATCCGGATGGGGAACCAGTCAATTCGAGCGGATGCCACTTTGAGCGAAGGCCAATTTGAGCGGATTTTTTTTCGAGCGGATGCTAGTTTGAGCGGAAGAAGATCCACTTGTGCGAACAACAACCTGTGCGAGTTATATACAAATTACTTCAAAATTTCCTATTTTTGAGCTAAAAATTTGACATTTTCAAAGGGTACAATTATGGTATTTAAATTACTGTAACATTTGTTTATTAACAATTATTTTTATATTAGTATTAAAGTTTATTATTGTTACTATATTACTGTATTTTTTTTTGTTCTTGTCTGTTACGTTTCCATTTACCATATTTTCTGATCATGTTTATAATAATATTGTAAAGGAAATATGTATTTTCATATTTATATTTTCCATATAAAATTATCAATAAATTAATAATTGCATTCTGTACATTTTAAAAGCCGTTTCATTCTTCTTTTATAAGCCCGAGAAAATCACTCAACTTGCTCGGCGTATTTCTTTAGTTGAACAACTACTAGAATTGTGGAAAGAAACGTTTCCACAAATTGATTCCCATGGTACTCTTAAGGCGAAGCTGACACAAGGTTTGTGATTTCCTGTTTGTTTTATTTCCATTTTCGATACATTACTGCCAAGACAGAAGTAGGTCAGATGCTAAAATAGATGACTAGCTATTTCTAGGTACAAACACGTGCGCTGGAGCGCAGTTCACCATTTTACGTGTGTTCACCTACTTCATGAAACCAGTAACTTTGAATCGTCTGCGCTGGCTGCTGATCATGTTTATAAAATACAAAAATGATTGGATAGTTTATATTTGTTAGGCCTATATGATTTCATGTGTAATGTAAATAAATATGTATAAATTATATATATTATATTATGTATATATATATATATGTATGTGTATATTATAGGCCTCTATATATATATAGTTGTTTCTAGGTATATCCTATATGCTTATATAATATCATATATAAATATATATATATATTCATATTTATGAACTGCGCAGGGACATCAAAGAAAACTAAAGATTTCAAGTGAAGAATGATAATGTGTGTATTATTCGTTTATTTCTTTAATTGTGTTTCCCTCAATTCTCTTGTATGTTTTATCCAAACTCTGGAAGCTGCAAGAAAATAAATAAATTTATTGTATAGAAACATCGGATTAAATAATGTAATGATTATTATAAGAAAATATTTAGTAGAAAGATAGCAAAACGGAAATAAAAAAAAATACTTAGGCCTATGATAAACCGATTGACGAAATAATTATAATTACAGTATATAGGGCCTATAGGCATATTAAATTTTGAGTTTTCACAACTCCTTCGGCGCTCCATATATTTGTTCGAAATAAACCGCGACCGAAACGATCGGCTACCATTTATACAATTTATCAGTGAACTTAATTAAGGGTAGCCTAGATATGCTAAACACTATCAAGTATCTAGCTTTTAGTATGTATAATCCATATACATTTTCTGTACAGTTAAAAAGATATGTATTGTTAATGATGTTCTCACTTCATATTCCAAGGGACTATATTTTAATATATTGTGGAGAATAAACGAGGATGTATGAAATTCAGAATTATTTATTTGCCGCCCTCTAGCCATTTCAGGAAGTTTTTACCAAAGATCTTTGGTTTTTACCCATAAACAAAAATACTAGAAATACAAGATAGAGTTCTCCACACAAAAAAAGTGTTCCACCGTGTTCCACCGAAATGCATGGTGGGAATACGAAAAACGGGACGCCCCCTACAGCTGGATCTAAAAAAACTTGTGCCAAACTTTCGTGACCAAGTCGTCGCCTATTTTATTATCAATTCTCAACAAAGATACTAGACATAAAAACAAACCGGAATAGACACCCAGACAGTGACATCGGTGAATACATAACCTCCTTGGTGGCGGTAGAAATCGTTGCTATTATCCAAATAATACACAAAACAATTAAAGCATAATCATGAATCAGTAAAGAATAAAACAACAATACAGCGCAGAATCGCATGGCCGGACGCACTCTTAGTGAAAAAGTTTTCCTCCATTAGTGGAAAAGGAAGGGCGCCTTTTGCGTCTGGATATACTTAGCAACAGAAGGGCGCCCTGTACGTTGGGCACGAAGTATAGGAAACTTGCATGGTTAAAAAAAGGGCGCCGCCTACGTTGGGCACGACTTCCGCCTCATTTTTACAATGCGAGAACTCTATCTTGTATTTCTAGTATCTTTGCCATAGAGATAATAATACCACACAAATTAAAAAGAAGGAAGTTTACTTGTGACGTTTACAGGGTTGTTAGTGTTATGGGAGGGCGTAACCCAGGCTCGCTTAGACCGTACCTTAAAGGCTAAAAAAAGAACATTAAGTCCTTCTTCTAGTAAGTATGTATTTGTTAAGTGAATAATACCGTGATACATAGAATCTGCAGGCTAGAAAACATCCCTTGTGTTACAGTAGGCTAGGCCTAGCCTTAGTAACCTAGGCCAGGCCAGAGTAGTACAGGCCTAGGCCTAGTATAGTAGTACTAGTAGTAGTAGCAGTAGTAGGCCTAGTAGTTAGTATAGGCTAGTCCTAGCCTAGCCTAGGCTGCTAGACAGTAGTAGTAGGCCTAGCCTACTAGTAGTAGTAGTACGAGTAATAGTAGTACAGTAATAGCAGTGTTGCAGGATTTTTTCTCGTAACCAAAACAACTCCACTCCCTAAACCTCATACATATTGAGATTTAGTTTGTGTAAAGCACTGTGTGCGTGTATTGTCTTGTGAAACCGATTGTCACCTACAAGTAAGACAGTGATATTTTCTCTGTTGCCAATCCTTGGTGCATGTTTTGTGTGCCTAAATTAAATAAATAAAATAAAATTCTACTTCCCTCGTTGTTGGCTGATTCACGTCTGGAATCTAAATAAAACTAAAAGTAATAATGAGGGCCATTTTTAAGTAGGGGTGACCCCACTAAGATCTAGAATCTAATCTGTTACCAACAATCGACAAACGCCCAAGATTGGTAGTCTTATAGTTCAGCTGTGACATAGGCTACGTTCAGACCTAAGAGATACGCCAGGCGTATCTAACGCTAGGCGTACGTTAATCCATGGCGTAACTAGCGAGATGTCCAGACTGGGGTGATTAAGGAATGCTAGCGTAAGTATTTTCGCGTGAAATATTCGTATTTGTAATTCGCGCATTTTGTTTTCTGTTTACATTTTGGCTTATTTTGATTGGTCAAATCCTGGCTGAGTTCAAAATCACCGATGTGTGACTGTCGTAAATCAGTGGTGTACGCTAATCTGGGGTCTGTTGCTTGATTACCGTACGCCAGTGATTGCGCGGTATTACTGGCATCGCTACTCCGCGCCCAAGTTCACGCCACTCAATTAATGTTATGCTAGCGTAAGTCGTTTTCTGAACGTAGCCATAGTAGATTAAAAAAGTAAAAGCTTCATCATAGAAAGTTGTTTATTATGAGTTGACCTGAGATCTTACCCGGCGAGGAACTAAACCAAAATTTGTTAAGGAGAAAAAAAAATCACATGCAACTCTTGCAGAATGAGGTTGTATCGGTTACAGGCCTTAAGCATTAAAAATCTCTAAATTTTGTTCAAAGCGTCTGGGATTTTCCCCAGGTGGAACCCGCTCCAGAGGTTCTGGGACATCACCCCCTTCCCTGCCGTTGGCAAATCTTTGAACACCATTTTTGTTTTGTGATGATTACATAAGCACGAAATAATATCATCAATAAGTAAGAAATATTGAAAATGTAGTGTCTTCTTTTGGCAAAATATATTAAATCAGTCTTATGGTTGCAGTAATTATAATGAATGAATGAATGTAGCATCCTGATATTGTACTAGAGTACAATTTAAAATTGAATTGAATTTGAAATTGCCAAACAACTTCAAAGGTTTTTAAGGCCAGCAGCGTGTATCTTAGAGTTTCACCTTAGGTCCATAAAGTACAACTCAGAGATAATCTGTCTTTGGCCTGTGAGATTAACTCGAAAAATTATAATCTGTCTTTGGCCTGTGAGATTAACTCGAAAAATTATTTCGCTCTTCAAATAAATTAATTAAGTACCAGGAGTTAAGCTAGACTACTACCTAGTCAAGAGTTGGTGGTGATGATGTTCGTAGGCAATGCAGTAATGTAAAGCCATTTGCTTCTGAAGGTGTAACATTAATAAACTCCATTAATGACAATCACCTTTATTTTTAATAATAATAATAATAATAATTTAGTAATAATAATAATAATAAATAATTATTATTATTAATTGACATACACCATTATACGTTGGTGGCAAATATTTTAACAATGGAAAACATATTGTATCTTAACTAAGGAAATACATATTGTTAAATAACAGACATCTTCATGAAAAAAATATCATTATACCATCATAAACATAAGTAAGAACCTCATTTTCACTTTGTATGGGGCTTTATGGGTAATTTTCTGACTGTA